GGTTGATGGAGAGAGGACTGGATGATGGAGGGAGGACTGGTTGATGGAGGGAGGATTGGTTGATGGAGGGAGGACTGGTTGATGGAGGGAGGACTGGCTGATGGAGGGAGTACTGGATGATGGGTGGATGACTGGTTGAAGGAGGGAGGGGATTTTTGGTGGAGGGCTTATTTCAGAGCTGGCTCTAGGTTTAACTTGGTGGGGGGTGGTCAAAGATATCAAGAACTGGAGATTTATTTCACCTGAAATTTAGTTTTAGAGAACTTCTCATGATCATGGATGAGAATCACAATGGGATGATAATCACCTAGGGTTTCTAGCTAAAATAAGGAAAATAGCTTCTAAGCAAGTAAGCAAGTGTCTTAATTTGTCTGTCTGTCTCTCTCTCTTTCTCTCTCTCTCTCTCTCTCTCTCTCTCTCTCTCTCTCTCTCTCTCTCCTTGTAAGGGGATTTATACACTGCAGCCTGGCTCCTATTTAACATCTAGCCTTCTGGACTGAGATTTGCAATTTTAACACTCTTTTTATTTCTTGCCCAGAAGGAGGTAGCTGTCTCTGCAAAGATGCTAAGCACTGGCTGGGCCTGTACGGTCTTCACATCCTCCTCACCTTTTGTGCTGCAGAGCCACTGTGTTCTGGTCACGCAGAGGTTCACAAACTTTTGGAGTTCCTACACTGAGCAGGTTTGATAAACATAAAACAGTCATTAAAGTGCTGGTAGAGCTGCCCCACCTGAACGGTTAATTACATAATCAGGTGAAGAAAAACTGTAATCTCAGATACTACTAGCAATGTGCTTACACTTTGCCACATAAATCTTTCAATTCTGCCTACAATCAACTGAACCCAGTTGGTATCTTAAAAACACACTAATCAACATTATTTTCTCCCCACAGTGCTGACAAAATAAAGAAAAACTCACTTAGCCTACAGCTTCTGCTGACCATACCCTAAGCCCTAAGCGTTCTGTCTGAGGAATCTCAATCCCTCAGCTACTTCATCGTCTATGTGCTAGCCACGCCCCAGAACTCTGTTTTTGCCATCATATGGTGTCTTGGGGTACCTACTTGTAGTTAAGATTGACTGTATTCACAGTTTAACTAACCTTTTCATTAGCCAATTTGGGCTAATAAAGACACTGGCCAGAGACTTAGGCTTTCTTTTATCTTCAAAATTACTTTGGCTAACGAATGAGCACATAAATTGTCAAGAGCAAACACATTTGAAGCAGCTGTGGAGATTTCAGTGGGGGATGGCTGCTGAGGGAGACCGATGTAGTTTTCTTCAGAGGTGTGGCCAATAGAGGTGTAGCCAATCTCTGCTGTGTGGTCCCATGCTGATGTGTGCATGGGTAGCACTAAATAAGAGTCAGGAAGAACAGGAGGAAGAGCAAGAGGGGAGGAGGAAGAGGAGGAGGAAGAGGAGGAGAAGGAGAAGAAGCGAAGACATGAAGTTGGGAAGAGGATGTGGTAGAGGACCTGGGAGGAGATAAGGGTGCATTTTATCTAAATCTATTGCATTCATATATTAAAATTAAAAATAAATATAAAATAAGTTATTTAAAATATTAAATATGCATAAATAATTTTTGCATACATCCTCAAACAACAAATGAAATATTAATATTTAAATTAGTGAACTGTAGTCCTTCATGGAATGTTTCTGAAGCTTGGCTCATTATTGGTACCATGAGGATGACAACTTCTATGTCACAGCCATTTCTGAGGACAGTGAGATGACTGTACTGTGGAGTGGCATATTCAAATGTGTATTCATTATAGACTTAAACTTTTTGTTCCTGGCATTGAGATAGGAGGGTGAGCTCCATGGATGTTTGGCAAGCCCTCCCCCAACTGAGTCACATCCCGAGGCTCTACAGCTTCCCGTTTTTTTTTTTTTTTCTCCTGGAAATTTTAGGTCTCAGTGTAAGCTTTTGAATATTTCTGTACATAATTAAGCCACGATATACTTGAGATGATATAGTAACCACTGCTTTATTTAGCAGGGAAAAGGTGCGGGCAAATACCTCCAATCCTAGCTCTCTCACAGCTTCAGCAGGATGATCCTGTTAGTTCAAGGATAGCCATCTTGAAGCTAGCCAGGGGAATGGTGTACACACACATGTATACACACACACCACACCACACCACACACCCCCACACACATCCCACACATACCCACATGTTTCAGTCTGGGATATAGAACAAAATGTTTCTACAAACCAGAAACAATAATTAATTAAAATTAATAACTAATTTTAAAAGTACTATTTAGGAGGATTTTTTCTATGCTTTTACACAGATTTCCCCCCTCTATATATACTACTTTGAATTTCAAAATATTTGAACAGACAGAAGTTTAGTTTTGTTAATGAAAATCAGTTTGGGAAAATTAGTTTAACAGTATCTGGGTAGAAAACTGCTCCCTTTTAGAGGAGTGACCAGTTGAGCATATAGGCAAGATGTTTTCCTCATATACTACTAGACATGTTTTCATGATCATCTCTTAGACAGTAAAAGAAAAAATTAGTAAAAGAGTCCATCGTAGTTTTCATTGAGATCCAAAGAAAAATGTGCTTTTGAGAGAATGAGACTTAGTCCTTTGAGGTATTTCTGAATATAGAATCCTCTCTGATGGTTGATCTGTTTCATCACTTCTTACAGCTGTCAGGAAATTTAGTCACCACTCTACTTTGAGACAGCAGTGTTAGAATGTGGTAGGAAATGACCCAAGTATCTGTCATGGATATGGGCTCCAATAAACTAATAGAAGGGAGCTGATGTCTGTTTAAATGCTTTGAAACTCAATCAAACGAGCCAGCGGGTTTACTCAGGAATTCTCTGTGCTTTCAATGAAGCACCTACTAAGTACATTGCACTACATATTGGGGATATGAATTGGAGCATGGAGAGGGTCATAGCTTGAAAGAAATGCCAGCTTCCTATGAGAAGTACAAAGATTACTACAGATTTAATTCTGATACTTTTTGTCACATAATAAAATATTCCTAAGTGAAACGGGAAAAAATATGATTTGAACAAGGAAGGAAAAGAAGAGAAACAAACCTGAATAAAAACCTAGCAAAGCACATGCCCTGCGAGCGCCGGCATCACCATTTGGATGAGACCGGAATTTGGGTTTGAGATGCCGATCTCACGTCAGGTTATGGTTACTTCCTGATTTCACAGCCCTTAGTTTCAAGTCTTCAAAGCCAAGGCCGCTGATGAAGTCAGAGCTTGAGCATGGTGGTGCAGAGACCCAGCCTGGGCCTCCATTTCCCCTGACCTGACTCCATAGCAATTATTTAGAGTACACTTTCCCAAGACGTTTCCCAAGTGCTCTGTCTAGTGGAAGGAGCATGGCCCTAGAACAGAATTTTTATTTCTCAGCCACAGTGACCTCTAACATTTCAAGTTACAGTCCCTGCTTTAGTGGGAATATCAAATATTATAATAAGGTTTTCATGCCAGTGCTATGAATCTGAGTTCATTTTTCTGCTTCTCAGTTGTCTTCATTTACAAAACAAGGAAGCAAAAAGGGAGGCCACCAGAAAGTCTTGCTTAACACACAGCTCATTCTCCTTGCACTATTCTTACTTATGCTCTATGTCCAAGTCTCCAACAGTCATTTCTGCCCATAAATTTTAACGTATGACTTTCATTCCTGAACATGTGCATAGATTCACTTATTAATGTTTTCAGCCCCAATTGTGTGCCGATCTCTGGCATGTGAGTGCAAGAGGGAGCCAAGCCTATAAAATGTGTGTCTTGGTGGGATTTCTATTACAACAGAGGATAATGGAAAATGACATTGTAGAGTAAATACATTTATACAGTGTGTTAAATGGTGGGTACTGTGGAGAAAACAAAGCAGGGGTGAAAATGGAAACACTGCAGATTAGGAAAGTCTTGCTAAGAAGGCGTGGCTGTGAAGGACGGATGTGGCTGTATGCCTGCAGGAGACAGAGACAGGCCTGGGGGACAGCTAGGGCAGGAGTGAGCCTGGTTACTTGAGACTCATTGATCAAGTCAGGAAGAAGATGGAGAAACCTTATGCAGCCAGATGATGGCTTAAACCCACTCTCTGTCCCTCAGTCCTTTCTAGTCTTCTCTCACATAGGGACACAGCAAGGAAGTCATCTACACGTCAGAGATTGGGCCCTCAACAAACCCTGCCCATGCCCACCCTCGCATTAGGGTTCTACCAGCCAGAAGTGTAAAGAGGTCCCTGTTGTTGAAGCCATCCAGCCTGTGGCATTTTGATCTGGCAGCTCGAGCAGGCTAACATGCAGCCTTATTTAGAGTCAAAGCCAGGTTCCTAACAGTGGCTTTGAGAATTCACCATCTGGCTGCCCATTAATTGATGTCAGACTCTCTTAAATTGTTTTCCAGAGAGGATATACTGAGATACAAAGAGATACACATTTCCAGCCACCAGACTTGAACAAAATGAATAGAATTAGCAGCAAGTTGGCAAAGGGGTATACAATGATTTGTAGCATCCTTTACTGTTCTGTTTCCCACAACTCCAAGAGGTGATTACCTCCGTGCCTCACTTTGATAAGCAAGACTATTGCTAACACAGACATAAGGTGACTAGATCTCTGTTTGAAACTTAGCAGTTTGGTTCTAGTGCTGCAAGGAACAGCATCAGCAGTCGCCTAGGGAGCTTATACTCTGAAACAAGGGTCTCACTGCAGTCACTCAGATCCAACACTTCCACCAGTTTTGTGAGGTTTCATGTCTCTTGCTCTGGACCCTATAGTCCTCACCAGTGGCGGGCAAAGGCACATTGACAACAGAGGACAGAAAGAGAAGAAAACAGCTGTACCACAGGAGAGCAGTCTCTCACTCAGTGCTGTGGAAGGTGTGTGGTCGCTAATTACTCATGCATGTGGATACATCTCATGACACCCACGCACATGTCCTCTGGCCCCCTGTCACACCCCAGAGTGGACAAACAGTGCACGAGAGAGGGAAAACATAGAAGGTGCTACTGTACCTGGAGAATGAGGCGGCGGGGAGCACATCAGAACAACCCCCTGGCCTTCCCTCACAGAGACTGCACTTCTTGTCCGGCCACTAAAGTTTCCCAGATCTGTCAACACAACACAGCATTTAGATGTCATGTACAAAAGCAATAAAAAGTAAAAAGGTACTGTGGTCATTCTCACTTATTTTCTATTATTATCCTGACAATGATTCTTTTGCTTATTTTTTGTTAGGAGGATCTGATAAATAGATCTAAAGTCACCCAGTGTTAAATACAACAGTTTAAATAAGTCTAGTATTCACAAAAATACGCCATTATTTATGTGTACTTTCTGTTCATTCTAAGTTGTCAATGCAGAAAGAAACTAAAAACAATACAACATTTGAGCATATTGGTAATTTCTTAATACTATTTGCTACAGACTGACCTTTCAATGAGGAAAGGCTGTCCTTCACAAGGAGATACACACAGTTGTCAGGGGTGGCACATGTCCAGCCTGCTACCTCATTAGCTGCCATGCTACAGTGGTGCGTAAAGCTAAGCGTGAATTTGCAAAATGAGAGAGACTTTGTGCTCTAGTGAAATCTAATGAGGCTGTGAAATGTTCTTTTCTGTGAGAGTGGATGTGAACGTCATGTTCTTTCATTTTTATGGAGGGATAAAAGGGGACCTTTGAATTAATTATACTCATCTATTTTGGTTAGCCCAGGCATATTAAAGCTATTGAAACTTATGTGTATAAGAACAGTAGTGCTGGGTCAGTAGCCTTCCTCCAAATTACATTAATTTACACAGATGGAAAACAGTCCTAAAAGAAGGTGGTCCTGAAGGGGACAATGGGACTCTGTTTGTTTGTAATTGCTGTTTATTGATCTATTTATCACACTACCCACAGACATTATCTCCCTGTCAGTAAATTAGTTTGTCCACTGTCATGATTTTGAGAATAGTTTCTTTCAAATGGTGGTTTATTTTCTTAGATAAATATTGTCTCAGAATTGAGGTCTCTATAGTATCATGTTTCCATGGTAAGACATGCTTTTTAAAAATGTTATGCCATGCTTTCTATTATACATAAATTATTTTTTTTCATTTTTAAGATCTTTCTCTATAAATACTATGTTTAATGCAAATATAAGTTAGAGCCTCAACTTAACTGTTTATTGACCTAACAACTGTTAAGTTAATCAAGATAATCTGCTGGGTAGATGTGAAGGAGACAGTAACTAATTTTACATAAGTTTCCACCCTCTTTTATGGAACCGAGTGCTGACTCCAGAGCTTTGTGTGTGCCGACACTACACGACACTGGGGCAGTCTCGCCATGCTGTCACTTTTAAATTTTAAGGCACGGTCTCATTCACTCTTCATGCTGTCCTTGAACTCACGATGTAGCCCAGGTCTATCATGTCCTCCACACTCACCCCACCTCAGTCTCCCCAGTGGCTGGGGTTACATGGAGGCTCAGACATTTTAATGAAAAATAATTTCCTTAATTTTTAAATTCATAACCAGAATTTTTCAAGCGAAGCCCCAGTGATGGAGGACCCAGACTTTGTGAAGATATGATGGCTAGAAAACAGAATAATGAGAATTGAGACATTTACTCTGAATGCTTTGCCACATGGTGAATAAGGAGGCTTTTTACACAGTAGCAAGACAGAGTAGAAAGAACAATCTAGCTAAATTATTTTATAAGGTGGGGTGTCATTATTGGAAAACAGAAAAACTAATCATTTAAAAAAGAAAAGAAACTCTTCCATTTGACCATAAACATGTCCCCCTCAAGGCCATTCTGTGGGTATCTGCCAGGGAGAATGTCTGCCTCTTGCTTCATTAGCACAGAGTGATCCAACATGTGTGTGCTTGTGTGAGGAACAAAAGCATGTGGCTCGTGTCTTTAACTGCATGCACACTGGCTCTGAGAGATAAAGCCTGGATCTTCTTTCTCTGGAAAGTGCTCTCGATATGAAGATAAAAGTTTGACAAAAGCTTAAAGTTGGCCTTTTTAGACTCGCCTGCTGGAAGGATAAGCAGAAATCACAGAATGTGGCAATGGGTGTCTATCTTCAGGGCCTGTTCTTCCTCACCAAATTCACAAATTTATACAAGACAAAACCTGCTTAATATCAACTTATTTAGACTGATTATGAAATGATTATCAACATACACACATATTTCACACAGTTCCTTCAAGTCTTTAATATGCATGATCTAGCATTTCCAATTGACTTATTAAGCTAAAAAGAATATTTTAATAGACAACAATTCAAAATTAGGGCCTCCATCTGGGGACTTAAAGTGCAGAGTCAGCCTAGAAACAAAACATGAAGAAAGGAAAACCACAGAATACTTGTCCTGAACTGTCCTTGGAGATTCCAGTGATCTGAAAGATCATGTGCTGCTCTCCATGCTTTACCGTGTATCAATGTGAACACAACACAACACCAGACATTTCACAGAGTTGCCTGTGGTTCACTATTTCCTAGGGACCACAGCACTAACATTACCAAGCCAAACATATTTTTCAATTATAAATATTTTTAATGTTTAGAGATGTTTTAGTTTTCATTTTGCCTTGGTTTTGGGGTCTGAGTATTGAAGCCTGGGCTTCTACAGGCTAGGTAAGCACTCTATTACTCATCTGTATTCCCAGACCCAGAAATGATTTATTTTTTGGCTCATAGTTCTGGATTGTGGTCAAGCAGCCACATCTGGTGATACGTCCTGTCTTTTACCTTGGTCATTCTGCTTCTAAAGGCTGGTTCTGTTGAGCAGAAGGGCATGTGACAATTTCACACTAAATTCCATATGATGCAGGGGTTCTAGCCAACTCCTGCATGAATCCAAAGCCTCTCCTACTGTCAGAGGAAGTAGACAGTCATGTTTCAATTATGAATATGTTTGAAAATTAAATGCAGAGAAATAACAGAGAAGTTAAGTGGTTTGATTTTGGTTTTGTGTTTTGTTTTTTTTTTTCCCCACCCAATGCTCTGGTTAACTTAATGAAGCATGACTTCTATGGCAAACCTCCTGGCTGGTGTAAACTGAGTTCAGGCACACCCGGCTTGAAGCAGACAGTGCATTTGGAGGTACTTGGGAAATTCAGAAATCTTTTAGCAGGCAATTATGTGGCATAGATGTTTATCATTTTACTACATCTTATATTTTTGTATTAAAGAGAGAAATGAGAAGTAACAGCCTTCCTGAACATAGGCATCTTTTCCTTGCAAATGACACAAAGCCCAAGGATACAGATTCCATTGATGTGGTTCTGAAACCACAGTTTGAGTTTTAAACTAAAAGGAGCTATTTTTGGAGCTACTATAAGTCACATGGCATTCAAACAAGTAGGAGCCTGGGTCTGTGATCCAGAACCCAGGAGCTACAAGCCTGGCCTCTGATCTGAGCTTTGTGCACTAAGAAATACAAAGCTCAACAAAGAGCTTGAATTACAACTGTAGATGATGGGATCATTAGACCTTTGCATGCAAAGAGAGGCATACAATAAATGACCACCCCAGATGATAGACTGTTGATTCTGCACAAATGATGCCATGTGCTCTGGCCAGAAAGGAGGCAAGTGTCTTCCTTGCTTGCCTCCATGCATACTGCATTCCAAACAGAATTGGGTACCAGTGATACAGAAAAAGGTATAGATATGTAGTCTAATCATGCTGACTTGGGTAATTTTGCCATAGTGCAGAGATAACTGGGTCATCATATGGGTGCATGAGCCTGAAATATCGTAGCTTTGCCATAACCATATTCATGGGTGATTAATACATGCCTCATAACTGTATGATATAAACACATGGACACCAATGCTCATCTCTTCCTTCCTTGCTCCCTCGCTTCCTCTCCCTTCTCCTCTTCTCCCATCCCTTTTTTGTTTCTCATCTGCCTTCCTAAATGACTTCTGTTAGTTACTGTTTTTTTTCTTGAGTTAAAAATATAACTTTCTATACTGGATCTACTTATGTTGCCCAGGCTAGCCTTGAAATTCTGAGCTCAAGTGACTCTCCTGCATTGGCCTCTCAAGTATCTGAGACCACTTTCCCATGGTGACAAATCTGATCACATATTTGAGTAAACTGAAAAGTAGATAAAACAAAGATAGTATTATATGCAGTGAGGAGCCATGAATATTTTAAGACCCAAACTGACTGGTAACTGAGGAAAAGCATATATTTTATCTGATGCTACAGGTTAAGAAGGATTTCCCCAAGCAAGACTTCAAAATCATCACAAATTTCGGGGTGGGGGGTCGGGGGCAGAGGGTAACAGGTATGTTTGCAATTCGTGAGGAAGATTCTCATCCCATATGGATATGCACCTGGAACATTATTCCCTGGGAAGAATCATTTCAAAGCCCTGGAGAGAAAGAACACAGTGAACTGAGAAGAAATGGGTGTGGGAGATCTTGACAACAAATTTATGCATACTAAACACAGTAAATTGAAATAATTATATGAGCCCTTTAAGATGAGAAGAAATGCCCCAGAACTGAGAATGGAGTGCTGTGGCTAGACTGTGCCCTCAGCTTGGATTTCCTTTTCTCAAGTATTCTAAAGGGCGTGTTCATACACAGGCTGAGGGTTGACTTGTCCTCAGCTCTGCTGTTATCCTGTAGATGTGCTAGCAGCTGCACCCTGCAGATGCTCTGAGCTTCCTTAGTCACACTTTAAAAGTGCTGAGGACACACATTTGACTAGGTACAAATCTTAAACCTTTACTTAAAATTGAGAGTTGGACTTCCCATACAAAGTAAAGCCATTAATAAATGGTAAATTCCTTAACATTTCCAGCAACTTGTGTTGTGTTTGTTTTCCACAATGAGTAGATACTTGGCTGCGCGAGGTCAGTCCCTGAGCTCCAGCCTCTGTGACTGCTAGAGAGACATATTTTGCAACAGTGCCTTTCAGCGTAGTTAACTACACAGGGAAGCCTTGCCTCAGGTGAGCCATGGTTTATGTTTTATCCTCAGGATTATTTATGTCACTGGCAGATTTTTTATTTGTCCCATGACACGCATGACAAAATGTCCCATGGGAAAAACTGGTCAGCTTTAATTCAGAAATACTTTTACTATTAAAAAACCCTAA